AACTTCAATCCCTATGTGGCTATTTATCTCGGTGTCTCCTTGGGGTGCTGGCAGGCAGAACATGCCTGCTCTGCCATGGGGCAGGGGAGAGAAAGATTAACCTGGGAGTGATCCATTTATCCTAAAATTGATCATGCCAAGTCACAGACAAAGATGATGATGAACGTGCATTGGAGAGGCTCATTTCTGCTCAAGCATTTGCCCATCAAGAAGAAAATCTGTCCCCTTTCAAGCACTTCCAGTTAAACACCCTCAAACTGAAGCACCTCTTTCTTCTCTGCCCAAATTAGCCAAGTCACAAATGACCCCTGGCTGCTTTCCAAACTTTTTAACCCATTTTGAACTGAATTTGCTGGTGTCTCCATCCTGGTCCCACCCATGTCAAGGTAAAGCTTCACGCTTGCTTTAATGCAGCAGGAGTAAGCCTCTGCCACAGCCTCTCAGCGCAAACACTTCCCTGGAATCTGAGCAAGTGAAAAACAGTGGAAGTGCCTGTACCTTGGACTGAAGCCTCTCAGATTTCAGCACTTGATGGAGTTTAACTGCGCTTTAAAGTGTGTAACAGAGTTTGTGTGTCCAGTTTGCTTCCACCAATGCTTGAGGATTGAAGGGGGCTGTGGTGCTTTCTGGATCCATCCTTACAGGCGGAGTTAAACATAAAAATCAGACGTGATCCCTATGGATCCCCTTAACTGCTCCGGGGAGAGCGAGGAGGAAGCCAGGGCTCTCTCGCCATGCAGCTGTGCCCCTTCCCCTCTCTTGAACTTGGCTGTAGGGAATAACTCAGACAACACTGCCCTTATCTCCCGGCATTCCAGAGCCGCAGCAGCGCCGGCCGTGCCGGGGCGTTATCGGAGGCCCGGGTGCCCCACGGCACCTGGCTATGGGAAGGTCAATGCTGGGGCAGGCTGTGCTTTCGGCTTTGTTGTTCCTCCCCATCGCCCTGGAGCAGCCACAGGGGTCAGTCTGCAGGAGTACTGAAAGCCCTGGGGATTGTTAAGCGCCAAATCCTGTTTATTCCCTCTTTTACCCAAGCATATTTCACCGAAGAAGCAAGGGATGCTCGTTCCGTTGCAAAGCAAGCATCCTCTCCGCATCCATTTTAGCACTCTGCCTCCTATAAGCAGTGATACTGGGGGAAGGAGCCACATTCTGCTGGATCAAGCCATGGTGCACGGGGCTGCAGACGGGGTTAAAATATCACCTTGCCTTCGCCAGGGATTTTTCTTTCTCTTATGAAAACAGAGTGGCCTCTGAATGTCAGCCCAGCCTGCCTGTCAGTTCTCAGCTGCACCATGGGATAAAGCTGCTGATCCCTTTTATCCCCTTCTGGGAGTAGTATTAATAGTATATTCATTTTTGTTCCATTTATAATTCATTACTGCCCAGTTATTTGGATTTACTTGTGTTAAAAGGCATAACGAGACAAAAACTTAGCTGGCTAGGAAGGCTCTTCCCCTCCTTCAATCCCTATCTCGCCTCCAGGGTGATGGGAGCTGATGGCTGGGGGCCGAGCTTTGGTAGAGCAGGGTATACACGCAGGGTAGAAGGGAGGTCACTTTGTCCACAGGATGTAAAGCTTTAGAGGTCACTATTGCTCAGGGGTGTATAACCTCCAAACGCATAGGAAGAGCTGTGTTACTTTGCTCCAGTCTGGCTTATTCCTAGAGCAATGTGCCCACACCTCACTGAATTAAACAGCAAATCTAGCTCCTGTTAGGTGTTTAAAATGTGCTCATAGCAGAAAGATTTGTTTTAAACAAAGAGGAGCATGCATTTTAAATACAAATTTCCCTTTGTTGTTTTAACCTTCCCCCCCCTCCAGTGTTTTTATCTGCTTGCAGTTGCGTAAGCATTGGCTCTCCTCTGGGCATTGCAGGTTCAGGGCCAGAGGGTCTGCTCTGCCCACAGCACACTCCAGGAGAGGCCCAGATGTTCAGAGGAGGTTAAAAAAGAAGCCCCAACCCAACAACAAAAAGGAAAAGCTGTGTTTTTTAAACCACCTTTACGCTTTCCTGCTCCTGGGGCCAGCCCCCTGCGTAAGATAAAACAGCCTCGAGTCTGCTTTATCTCACCCCCAGCTGCCCACCATCCCCAGGGATGCTCTAGCAGAAGGGCTCAGCCGGACATGGCAGCTCCCAGCCTCTTCCTTGGCAAGGGGGGGACGGTGCCCAAGGGAGGTGGATGCTGTGGGACCAGCCCCACTGGGACCCTCTCGTCTGGGGCTCACCCCGTGGATGGTCACGTTGGGTTTTCCTGCCTGCTGTGCATGATGCAGCTGGGGCCAGCGTTGGGCTCTGCAGTCCAAGTGCCTTTGTGATTTTCCCTTACACTGTCAGGCTGCTTTCCCAGCAAACTGTGGCTTTCGTGCTGACCCCCTGTTCACACCAGGAGAGGATCTAGTAGATGCCTTCTACGCCTTGACCCAAGTAGGAGCAAGCTTGCTCTTGCAGTATGCCCCTCACTATGACCACCCCCAGTTTTGTTAGCTGGCTTGAATTAACAACTGACAGAGGTCAGTCAGGACAGTCACATTCAAAATATGCTTTTGGGAAACAGCCTAGAATATGGGCAGGAAGTTTTATTTTGCAGATAGACCCACGCAGAACTCTGCAGACAGAGAAGCATAGATGGACAAATCAGTCAGCCAGGGTGCCTTTGATCCTGAAAGCTCCCAGTCTTTGAAGGGTTTTTTGTGTATTAGTAAGATCCCCAGTCTCAGCCATCCCTATCATCCTGCTCGACCCAGTCACTCCCTTCCCAAAGGGCATCTGCAGATGTACAAGAGCTACCAGTGGGTTCCCAAGATGAGAAATCCCAAATTGCTAAGGAGTATACAGGGGGTTACTGACATGTAGCTCCCACTGCTTTTGATTCAATACCCAGACTGGCCTTTCCGAAGCTCACAGAGGCTCTTGGGAGGAGGGTTTCACACTGTATTTGCTGTGTGGCTCCATAAATTCTTGGTTTTGTTTCATTTTTGCACCACTGTGGACTAGAGGGGAAGTGCGATACCAAAGGCTTTTTGTCTTGTAGATATAATGATCACTAAAGATTAGTACTAGTAATAAGTTTTAGAAAGACGTTTTCTGTTTAATTCAGTGTTTCCAAGGAAAAGTTGTATATTCCCAGATATGATATTGCCAAAAAAGGCAGTATTTACACCCAAATGCTTTCCACACTTCTTTAGCACTCTGGGCAGGATAGTGGCCTTCACCAGTAAAATTTGGATGCCCTTCCCTGTTTGTGGAAGAGTTACCCTTGATTTGGATGAGCATAAATGAGATAGGAGTTCAGCTGTATCCTGTTAAACATTTTCAGCATGTTCTGCATTTATCTTCACTGTTAAGTAAGTCATTGCCTTCCCTGTGATTTAGATGGGCGAAGTATGTCAGTGTAGATACGTGTGAGTTTTTTCCCTCTATTTTCCTCCCAAAACCATGACTCAGACCAAAGAGAAACAAAGCCAGGTCTGAACCCCACACCTCATTAGTGGTGTGCTTGTCTTGCTCTTCAAAAAGGCCTAAACTAAAGGCCAGTGGCCCATCCCAGAGTGATGCTGATGCTTTTGCCCTCACCCAGGTGCAAGAGCAGTGCCTGCACTTGAATTTTTGCTTTGCTTTTGTCCTTGTCACCCTTTCTAATGGCACACTGAGCAGGTGGCATGGGGAGGGAGGTGCAATGGAGACATCGTATAGCCACAGGCACTGCAAGCAAGTGCCCTCCCCTCCTGAAACACTGCACCCATTGACTTTGCCCACCTGTTTGCGATGGCTTTGGGGTCTAATACCTTTTTGAAAGGGGAACAGAGACCCTTAAAGGGAAGAGGAGAGGGGGCAGGGAAGCTGCTGGCAGCCCCTCTAACAGGAGCACGGTTTGCAACCCCATTCACAGCCATTGTCTGGCATTGTTGTACCAGACACGCTCCATTCACGGCCCCTCGCCTGTCCCTTTTCAGCAAGTGCCCACTGGTCCTGCTCTGTTTGTCAGCAAGAATGAGCTGCTGGGAGGAGGAATGTTTCCCAGACAGCGGGTGAGGAGGTCAGTCTGGACCTCTGGACATTAGTGGCACAGACTTGCAGCCATGGCATGTGAAAGCAGGGTGATCCTTTGAGGGTCTGGCAGCCGTTTGACTATGTGCGGCAGAGCGCGATTCAGACCATGAGATTAGCTGTCAGGTCATCTGCTGTGAAATCCATTATGAAAAACACCCGGAAACTGAGGCTTCTCTTGAAATCCTCCCTTTACTGAATTGCAGAAATCATCTTTGCAAGCTTTTGTCAGATACATATATATGTATAATATATTTATACGCTCACACGCGCGCTCGCATGTATAAAATGATGCTTGCTGTAATGCCTCATGCAAAAACGCTAGTTGAATAAATCTGTCACTGAAACTTCAACTCCAGATTACTACACTCTAAGATCTGCTATTACAAGTGGAAACACATCTTTAGAAAGTTCACAACAGTCTGGAGCAGATGAGCTATCGAAATGTAACAGAAAATCTACCCCTTCCAGATTAGTCAAACAATGAACGTAGTCCTGCACATAAACACTGTCTAACTGTATTGGCAGGGTAAATGGTTCCTGATTTAGGCATTTCCTCAGACTGTGAATGCCAGTATAAATTACCTTGAGGAAAAATACATTTCTAATCTGGAAGTGTGGTCAAGCGGTTCAAATACTGGTAACAAATCAGTCAATTACCAAATTATTAAACATTTCCAGTATTAGTATTAATCTCTGGTAGCAACAATGTACAATTTGCCAGAAAATACATCCTTAGTATATCTTGATGTACTTGAAAAAGTAGTTTTAATCTATTAATCTATCCCTAGTCAGGGAAATCCAAGAGGAATGAGGAGTCTGGTTTGCTGGATTTCAGAGGTATCCCTTCATGGTGGTGGATGTTGTTACCCCTCTGTGTTTTCAAACTGCACGCTGCCTTGTGTGCATTATGGATTTATGCAGTAATAGCCATATTTACCTTTGCAGCCATCTGAATGTAGCAGCAAAGCATGAATGCCTGAAGGAGAAAATGAGAAAAGAAAGAGGGGAGCAGGGTAATGCAGGTATTAATCTCTCAGTTGATGAAGAGTGGCTTCTGCTCTGCATGCAAAAGATTTCCTTGTCTTCCACAAGATCTTCTCAAAGAGCACACTCAGTCCAGTGTATTTTGATGGAACTATCTGAGGTGTGAAGATATAGAGAAAAGAAGAACTCAGATTTGTGTAGGTAGAAAGTCTGGATCATTTTAGTCCAACCCATTGAAATCTTTGCCAAGTTGGTTTTTAAATTTAATACCCTCCCTAAAGACCCTTGGTACCAAACCCAAATGTTGATGAGCTTGTGCCATGACTACACGTGCCAAGAGAGCTTTCAGGGGAGAGGTTTTGGCATGCATATAGAGCAGATTTTTACTGTGACTCTTAGAGCATCAGCCTCATCTCAAACCACCCTCAGGCCTGACCAGAAGAAACCGCCATCAAATCAATGAGGTGGATGCAGCAGAAAATGCTCTTGCTGGGTATGGGATTGCAGGTCCAGCTCCAGCACAAGTGGATTGCACAAGTCATGGATGAGCATGTCACCATTGTACTTTTCTATTTGCATAAAACAATTATCCCCTGGACAGTAGCTTCGGAGTTGTCTAGACAACATGCTTCTGATGGTATTACTGACCTCAGACACACTGGGCTAGCTCTAAATTAGCAATGAGGAGGGCTGGAGGGATGTATTATAGTAGTTATAAACCATAAGAAGGTATTTAAATAGATAGATAAGACACATGCAAATCTTTTCATTGCCATGACAACCATCTTGATATAGGTTTTCCATACGTAGCAAGAATGGCAGAGCAAAAGGCACTGGAAAAATAGCAAGAACCTGTAATGATAATGAACCCTGACAGTGTATTAGTCTAGATTTTGGTCACTTATTAACTCTTAATAAAATACAAACTTCTATAGTAATACAGTGTTCAGTGGGTCAGGGAGCAATTACTTTTAAACCTTGGCTATAAGGATCTCTGCTATATGGCTATACCTAATGTACCAATTCTTCACAAATTGATCCGACTGATTAAAAAACACTTTGCTATTAGATGTAAATTGCTTAGCTGCTCAGAAGCGCTTTGCAGGGACGGGTTGCACAAAGCATGAAAATATGTCATTTATGGACATCTTTATATTTCCCACCTGGTTTTATTGGCCAGGCGAGGAATCTTGTAAATCTGAATCCACAGATAATTGTCACAAGAGAGCTGGGGCCTCCAGTTTCAAATGGGAAATGCAGTGCAATCCCCCAGCACACATGTGACCCCTCCATATGTGACCTGTCTGAGCAGACCAGAACTGAGTATTTGTTCTTTTCTGTTCTTCTTGCAGTTCTTAATCTCTTCGAAGGGCAAACCCACTAATTTGAAGGCCAGTTCATGGCTTCCATGGTGCCTCCTGTAGCCATTGAGGGTTTCTCTTCTTTCTCAGACATTCAGGATGAAAACGTCTGCTGGAGCTTGGACCTGAAGGCATCTTGTCCAACTTGTGTCCTATGTGCTTGTCCCCAAGCTAGTCCAGAGATGTTGGGATGTGGGTGGCTCAGGTGGGAAGGACACAAGTATATTACCCCACTTCAAACAGTTTTCTCCACAAGTCAGGTGCATCAGTAGTGACCAGGGCCGTTGGAAATGAATTGTGATTAACCTTGCAGGGTGTTTTTTGGCTGTTGGTCTTTTTTCCTTGATGCTAGTGAAGATGCAGTTGTAGGGACCAAGCCTGTCACAAACTAATTCCTTGTTACCACTGCTTGCCATACCTGCAATGGGTGGTTTTGGTTTTTAAGGGTGTTTGGAGGTGGATGGCCCACACAGTGCTTTTGCATAGCCCCATTTCCTTCCACCCCAGCAGGCAGCAGGGTACCGCATCCCCAGCCCAGGCTGAATCTACCACAGCCTCCATGCCATCTCCTGTGGCCCCTTTCTGCTGCCTCTGTCCTGTCACACTCCACATAAAAGCCTTGCCCTCCTTGTCAGCGCCCACTGTCCTTTAATTTATGCCTTCAGGTAGTAATTTTGTCCAGCACTGTCAGGCTTCTGCTGTGCAGCTCCCCACAGCTCTCACACCAATCCTATTCCTTCAAGCTTCTTTTGGGCAGTGATTCGTCAAAGCCCTTGAAGATGGCAAGACGGGCAGGGTGCTACAACAACTGCCTATTATTTGTATTGTTTGAACTGCAGCCTTTTTACTATAGCTTTGTGTTACCTCTCTGCCCCACCTGTAAGGAGGTGGGAAGTAATTTGGGCAGGGAGCATCCTGTCCTCCTGCAAAGCGCAGCACCGAGCACGGCAGCTCCAACCAAAACCCTGCGGGTGATACCGTGGTGCAGAGAATAATTAAAAAGCTGCACTCTTTTCCCAGATGAGAAACACTCCTGTAGTGTGTAAATCAGCCACCGTCCTGGAGGAATAATCCAGGCGGGATAATTGTGCAGGGGAAAGGCCCCAGGCGTGATAGGGGTTTGCATTAGCAATGCCTTTTCATCCATCTGTCTTTTGACCAGAGCTAGAGAAAGCCAGAGTTTTGACTTATAAGGATGTTTTGATCAACTGATGATTATTTCAGCGACGGAGCTCCTGAAGTACACACAGACACAAAATACCTTATTTGTGTACAGGAGCAGCTAGGAGCCAGGAACTGAAAGGTTTCCTTCTTCAAAGATTAATCTGTTTAGGATCTACCAGCTCCCTGTAATCCTGGGGAATTCAACCATCAGTTTGACTGGGGGAAATATTTCACCCTGAGTGTTTATCCACTGACTACAGTGGAAGCAGAAACAGGCCAAAGAAGAATTTGGCTCAGAGCAGGCATTAAATTGTACCATTTATTGGTATACCATTGTTATTTATTAGTCAGGCTAAAGAAAAGCTGAAGAGTCCTGCTTACAGTCAGAGCTTGATTATGCTGTTCAAGTGTGTTAGGAGCCCTGTCTGACACCTCCCACAAGTATCCCACTTTTGGGTGTCATTAGGGGAAGGTTAAAGGTGCTGAAGATGGCTGGTACCAAAAAAAGCATCCCAAGAATGATCATGAAAGCAATGCAAAGGCAGATATATTTGTCCTGCAGTCAAATGGCTTTTACAAGTCATATATAACACACATGCTACTAACAACAACTACACTGTTAAAAAGTGTTTTCCAAAGTTTAGAAAAGGTACTTTGGTGCTATGGAGGAGAAAGAGTCTGTGACGGAGCCCACCTATGTATTTTCTTTTTAAGATCATCTAAACTTTATTGAAGACTAGCCACAGAACGGAAAATTGTTGGTATTAACACTCTAGGGCATCCTGTGTACTGAAGTCTCAATTTCTGATCCTGAATACGTGTTCCGGCTGACAAATTTTGGGGTGTTGTTTTGCCTTCTAGATATTCAGATGTTCTTGGGTCATCTGGGAATTGAACAGCTTTTGCATGTATTTAAAGCAAAGTAAACTTTCCTGCATGCATGCTGATGGGGAGGAGCAACCTTATTTATGAACACAGGCACCTGCCATGTTAATTTGTACAACGTTTGTGATTTATCCTAAAAGAACACATTACACAGTGGATTTGCAGGAGTTAAAGGGAATCTGCAGGGTGACTTTAATCTTTATGTCTTTATATACTTGAGGGCATTTTACTGCACCTCTGCACTGCTTTCACTACACAATCATTTTCTGTTTTAGAAATGTAGCCATTTGGATCAATAGTTACAGTCCAATATATTGTGCTTCTGATGGGAGCCTCACAGGACAGTTAAGAAGCACCGTGGTAATTCCACAAAATGCTTGGCTACACTCTGAAATCTATTTCAAAAGTAAAGTTGGCAAAACATACACTGTGCAGAATTACACGAGCCCTAATGAAATTGTACTTACTCCACTTACTCGTATTAAAACTGAATTAGGAAGAATGGGATGTAAAGGGATGTTCCTTGCTTGAAACATGAAGGTTTTAATAGGAAGCTTTAAGTATTAAGGACCAGGCTATCAGCAGTTTTTAACTCCTGTGGAACAGTGTTTGGAGCGGGTTTTGAAAGGAAAGATTTCTAGGTAATGTGGTAAGCGTGCATTTAAAAGAAAAGAGGAAAAAGAGGATGTTTGGAGACATTTACACAGCACACAAAGCAATAAGTAAAAAAAAGGATCTAAAATCATATGTCCCTTAAAGCGTTAACAAATGTATCCCAAGCGTTGTGGGTTTTACAGTAAATTCTTTATCTATAAACAAACCGGGTTATCACAGCTGTTTATTGTACTGCTAGCCCTGCTCCTAACCTTTATGTCTTTATTGCTTACATACCATTCCCTTGTTTATATGTCTGTACCAGCCTGTGCCCTTGAACTTGGCCCCCGCGAGCCCTGACCCGGCGCGCTCGCTCACTCACGTGGGTCACATCGGAGATCAGTAAATGGGAGATGGGGCTGGAATATGGGCAATTAACACACAGCCAAAGCCTCACTGGTGGTGGTGGTGGTGGGGGGGGTTAGACCACCAGCCACGGTCCTTGGTGCTGGAGCTGCCAGGATGTGGGCTTCACCACTGCAGAACCATCAGCCCCCCTCCCCTAGGGCCTTGGCAGTGCGCATTAGAAATGAAAGGAGAGCCGTGTGCTCTTCCGCTCTCTTTTTGTCTGTCTGTTTTTCCCCCTCTCCTCTGGCTGATAAGCTGACAGCCAGGCGTGCCTTGTTCTGATAACTCAGCAAAGTCTGGGTTTCGTATGGACAAACAGCCCGTGCCCTCCAGCATCTTCGCCAGCAAGGCTTGAAGGGCAGGACAGAGCGGGCAGCACAGGAATAAGCAGGGACAGGGGCATGGCTGGGAATATCTGCCTTCAGATCAATGATAAACTTCAACTGTAAGCTAAAAAGTACTTTACAAACCCTCTGATGTCCCACACGATAGATTGCAATGCATAAAGGGTTTTGGCTCAGATCAGTGTGTTTGCCACCGTGGGTGCTGTCAGGGGTTGCTGTGGCATCTCGTAAGAGATGAACCCTCCAAAATGTGGGCAGCACTAAACATGCTGGGACAAGCCAGTGTCAGTTTGTACAATAAGCCTTCCTCACCAACCCTTAGAGAAATTGGACCGGGTTTAGTTTCATTTCGAATGGGATCTTCACTCAAAAAAAAACCCCTCCTGGTAAAAACATCTCCGGGTCTGAATCCAATCCTTCATTGCTGCTAAAAATAATGTCAGTGAATGGAAGAATTCACAAATTCTCCCAGGGAAAAGAAAAGATGATCCCATTAACCTACATTACAGCCATCACCATTAAGAGATACCATTAACCTGCAGTTCCCACACAGTCTTGTCGGAGATAGTACAGTCATCCCTATAATTTTGGAGATACTACAGTCATCCCTATAAGCGTGTGCTAACTCCTGACAAACGCAGTACTGTAGCCAAGTCCATTGTCAGATTATAAGGACCAATCCGTGTAGCCTTTCATGAGTGTTTTGGGTATTGAGGCAAAAGCCTGTCTCAAACCACACTTTGGATCAGAGCTTCAGAACAGGAATGGGTCCCCTGCTATCGAAAATGATAGGATTTGACTGCCTTACAAGGTCATGAGCAGTCATAATGGATCAATAGAGAGGATGAGATGTGTATCAGGAGTTTTAATGACATAACATTGTGTTGTAGAAGTTGTTGTTTGACTTTCTAGAGAAACATATATATTTTCAGTGGCTGTTCTTCACACATTTGTTAATGCTCAGCTACCAAAGTGGGAGTGCTAATGAGTACCGATATCTGGTGAATAAGTTTAACTGAATCCTACTAGTTGGAGAATTGGAATGTGATTGTTTAATATGAAGTATATATATTTACATATACCTGGGCAGTATTGTGTTCTCTTAATGTATTCTGTTTACACATTTAGCCTCCCATTGCAAGCATTCTGGTAAGTTTAGTAATCAAATATTCACATACTCAGGAGAGTGACTTTTTCTCAGATTTTTACTTTGTGCTGTCCTCCTGTCAGCCAGCCCAAGGTTTTGTTTTATTTGGGGGAGTTTTGGGGCTTTTGTTTGTTTAACTCAGAGGAAAGACCTGCAGAAAAGTCAGCTTGATTTTGCAGTAAAGGAGCTGGAGTAGCCCTCAGGACTTAGGACTTGTTTCAGGTTCTTATTGTTGCCATAAGCTAATTTCATAGGCTAATCCTTATGCCTCAGTTTCCCAGCTAGTGGTAATACATTACTATTGTGAGTAAGATGAAGATATATTCAGTATTAACCTGCTGTTCTCAGACTGGGAAAGGGTGGTTTTAGAGAAAGCTGTCATTATAAGTGGCCTGTTGGGAATCCACACATCTCTCATAGGCCTAATTGTGATGCCTGTTGCCCAGGGGAAGAAACTCTCCTTTTCCTTCCACACCAGCACAAATAGCTGTTTGGAAAGCTCTTGATAACATCACTAAAGGAAAAGGATCTAGGGAGCTTCAGCTTTGAAAGCCAAGTAGACAACATGAAGATAAGGTCCTACAACCTTGGCCTCCATTGCCACACTTCAAAAAAGGCAATAAATACTCTTTCTGACTAAGTATGCTTCCTATGGTGCAGCTAAGTATCCTTCCCAGTTGCATAATGGTTAACTGAGCCCTAAGAATGTGCTTGATATATTATTATAGCCCTGATGTAGCCATCAGAGAGTACCAGGCAAACAGCATGTACTTAAAACCGTGCTGTTCTCATGCCCTTCCATGGGATATTTTAGTCTATTTTTTTACTACCTTTGCAGGTTGTCTCTTTTGAAAAGTGATTTCACAGAAACATTCTCTAATCTACAATTAAGACAATCTGTATGTTAAAGGCTATGTTAAAGCAGGCCCTTTTTCTGAGGCTAAACCCCCCCAAGTAATAAGATGTATATTTATGTAACAAGAGGTCAGCTTTATGAGAAATGCTGTTGTGGCTTGTAATTTCAGATGAAATGGTCCAGCGTTGGGATAAGAAGTGTTGGATGCTGACATGTAGTGATGTGCAAACCCCCCTGTCTGAGATGAGTATATCTCTAACTTTGCTCTAATTATCAATCACTTGATTCATGTCAGAGCACTCACATTTAAATCAAGTTTTTGTGCTATTTAGACAGGTACTCTGTAAACACAGGGAGAAGAGGTGGTTTCTGGAACGAACAGGAACGCTGCCTGAATGGCTGCCTGAGTCCATGTTCTGTCTGAATAAATTAAAAGCAAGAGTCTTTCATGCTAAATTTGTATGGCCCTCTGCACAAATTGCCCAATTTATTTGGGTGGCGAGACGTTTTGGGACACAGGGGTTGATCAAATGCATTCAATAGGACACTGCAAGTTGAATTTAAGTATAAAATGAAATTCCCTGTGTGTTGGTTTTGATGTTCTTAATTTAGTCCCTGGTGGACGGTAGTCTGCATTACAAAACCTTCACACATAATTTGGCACAGTTTGGGTGATTTGCAGTCTCTTCCCTCACTCTCTCTGCATAGGATGCCTTGAGCAGAGCCTGCATGGAGGCTGGGTGACCTCTCCTCTCTCAGGAGAGTGGTCTCTTCAGGTCGCTGTTCAGGACAGTTCTGCAGCAGGGTAAGGAAGCTTTGACTGCTGCTTCTTCACTTGTGTGGGTAAACAGAGGACTTCAGTATCCAGCACTACCAGTCCTTAACCTTCAAAAGCTAAGCAGTCACCAAGGGGGATGGGGAAGAGATGCTAAGAGAAAGTGCAGGGCAAAGAATGTAAAGAATTTTGCTTATCTGTGACAAGTTTCTAAGCATGTTTGATTATGGTAATAAGGATATGTCGTTAACAAAGGATTTTGAAGGCATGTACACCATTGATAATCAGCCCTGGCCAAAGTACAGCGAACATTTAAAACTTGATATGGGCTCTTCTTCGATGGGATGTGTTTGAAATACAGCAGCACTTTAGTGTGAATGTGGAATTTCACTTGATGTACAAGGGTGGGGGTGTGGCAGCTAAGGAAGGAGCTGTATCTACCAAAGATAAAGTCCCCATCACAGGCAAGAGATGACTGTAAAACACGCACAATTCCCAATCCTTAAAATGCTCCGTAATTGCAAATCTGCTCATTGTTTTAACTTATCTCTGCCAGTGCTGTGCTGAATTAGTCCCTGAATGGGATCAAGGGAAGAGAAGAGGAAAGGAAGGATGGGAACGAGAAACAGAAGAAAGCAAGATAGCCAGAGAAAAGGGAAGGGTGGAGGCAGTTAAGCATAATTGCCCTATGGCTTCATGTGGAATTGTAAAAGCTCTTGAACATCCTTGCTGAACCAGCCACAAGAACATTCTCCACATCCCTGATGCATGGGAGGCTTCTAGTCTGGTGCTGTGGGGGGAAAAAGGGAAAGAAATGGTTCAGGAGGAATTTACCTCCTCTGTTTGGATGCTTTTTAGTGTGTGTCTTGCCTGGAAACTGTCCCAGTGAATGTCTTCCCCCCCCACTGGCTTCTGTGCTGGTCCCCCATGTTAGGTCCTTTGGCTGTCTCCTCTGCATCCAGCTCCCCACTTGTGGGATGGGAGATCCACCACCTCTGTGGTCACCCCCTTTCTTTGGCCTGTTTAGCTCTGTAGCAGCTGTTCCCACCAACAAGCAATCCATGGGAATTTACTCTTGCTCCACCTGGAGTATTCCTATTTTTGCCTCCTTATCTCCTAATGAGTTTATAATCTAGAACAGAACAGTAGCCCTGCTGTTTTCCAGACTCCTTGTCAGATAATGTCACTATCAGACACATTCAGGTGACACACAAGCCACTTCTGGCCCCATGTGGGCTCCTGTGTGGGTGCTTTTTTGAGGAGGAATGGACTTGAACAGAAACTGTGAAGGCAAATGGAAGAAGAATGAAAACCACCCATGAATGGGACTCTCCAGGTGTGTTCCAGGTATAGTATTTGGGTGCTGGCTGCCCAACCCTAAATGTGGTGGATATAACTCAGTATTTCTTCTCCTAGTGCCTTTGGGTTGAAGAAAGCCTTTTAATATCCACACACCTCTAATAAACTAAAGCTGTAACGAGGCTCTTTCTATTTGTATTGCTCTTTTGTTGTCTCCTATGCGCATTTACCATTGATTTTTGCCAAATTCCCCTATACTGTAACTATGCAGTTATAAACTGTTGTTATTGAGGGGGACCAAGGAGAGAAGGGATAGCCATAAAATCACTGGCTGCAAACTAACACTGCAGCTCTATTTGGGTGTTTGTCATCAACACTTGGGGATTATTGCATACAAGATTCCTAAACATCAGCCAGCCACTGACTGCTTTCTCAGCCACATCAGACAAAAAAGTTATTTATTTATGGGGGTTTTAATGGTAAGGAATTAATATTCTGAATCATTGATATCTTTATTGTGCAATTTGCTGCCATTAAATTACTTCTTTTCTCTCAGAGTTGCCTTCTATGAGACATGAGAGGGTCGGTCTGTGTGCCTGATGTCATCTTTCAGGATGCATGGAAAACAAGGGAAACTCTCTGGAGCTTTCCTAAGTAAGCTGGGACATCCCCTCAGGTCCAAGGAGGGAGGGGGGCACTTGCTAACGTGGGCAGGGACTGAGGGAAGCACAAGCACAGAGCTGAAGCTTTGCAAGCTCTAGAAACTCTAAAGCAAATGGCTTCGTTTGGCTTGAGCCTGTGCAACAGCCAGCTACAACCGAATGCTTTATTGCCGTCTGGAAGTGTTTATTTTCTGAACATAAATTCAAGGGACAGATTCAAGGCATGTCAAGAAATAAAGCATATCATCATGTGAGCTAAGCTGACAAGGACAATTTACTGTACCCTGCATTCGTTCTGGGCCAATCGGAAGAGAAGAGGCTATTAACATCCTGAAATTCCCGCTGTTCGGCTCTCCCTGTCCCTTCACTGAACTCGGGAATGGCATGTATTAACCCCTTGAGGGCCTCCAGTGCACGGTGCACATTCAAAGAAGGGACACTTGTTCAGGCCTGGTAGACATATGCAGTGTGTCCAGCTCTTATTGACAGCAGCAGCAAACTGCTTTAAGAGCCATGACACGGCTTGCGCTGTCTGGAGGCCCATCACAGGGTTAACATCTTTCCTAGAGGCAGTTTCTGTACTGTAGATGAGCACTGACTTACCCTGTTTAAATACGAGAGTTCACTGGTCAGCTTGACCTTGAATTCTCTTGCAAAGACAGGAACAAGTTGACATACTGTTCGTGTTTCCAGTGCCTGCAAAGTTCAGGGAATACAATGCAACTGCAGCTCACATGCCGTGAGCATCACTTAGAGAAGAGAAGGGAAAGTTCATTTCCTACTTTTTAAATCCTGCCAGCACAAAAAGTAACAAAACCAGAAGAGAGTCGGGAGGTAAAGCACAAAGGGCACAGCAGCAGATATTGCAGAGGAAAGGTGCCATTCATAGGCAGGAACGTGTTATAATAAGATCCACACGCAAAAGTCCACAGAGGACTGTTTGCATAGCAGTGTTACAATATCTGCATGTGTAAATAGAGGGAACAGACCTTAAATCCACGTTGCAGCAGTGACTGTTTGGTCTTTTACCTGCAGCCACACTGCTTGAAGTATTCCTCCTGACTTCATGAATGCCCTTGCGTAGGACAGCACCATCAGCCCTATTCGAACATTACAGCTGAGGGAAATGTATTATTCCAGCTCTGAATATGCGTATTCTGTATACAGCACTGCAGAAAGGCAGTGCAGTTAACTGGTCTCCAGCTCTTTCTTTTCATCCTGTCCCTTCTTTACATGGCAAAGGGAACAGTTTCAGCACAACAGCTCCTCTCTGCCTCTTGTTCCCAGTGAAAAGCACAGCTCTGCCCTCTCTCCAGCCCCTGCATGAGAAAATGCGAGCTGATGGAGCACATGGGGAAAGGGAAGCCTGAGAAGAAATCTCCCTATCGTCTTTACTAGGTCTTCTTTTAAAGCATGGCTGGCACACGTGTATCCTGGGGAGGCTGAAGGCACAGCACACCCAGGCAGCCACAAACCTATAGAGGCAAGAGCAGAACCAGGAGCAGACGCAGGAGCCTGGGTCGCTGTCGGCCCCGCGTAAGGCTTCTCTATTTGTTTATCACTGTGCCTGAGAACACATGGAGTAAATCCACACATATTAAAAACACACACACTCCCCCCGCTGTTCGGTCCCCTTTTTCATCTGGGCCTTAGTCATCCCTCTGTGTTTTGGCACGGAGTCATGCAGCAGGCTCTGCCTAGTATATTGGCATAATGTTCACAGCTGTAATCAAAACATTTTTCCTCCTATCTTCTCCCAAATCACTTGGGGTCTCCTTCTCCCACTGAGGAGCCTGTCTCATTCATCCCCTGGCTACTACACATGGTTTAAGTATTGCAACATTCAGTCCTAGACCAGAATAATATAAGAGCCACAAAGAGTCATTTATCTGGCATGACATATTTTATGCTCTTGTGTAAGTTTTCCTAAGGGACTTCTGAATGTCCTACTGGGTGACTGTAAAGGCACCAAGGACTCAAAGTCATGGGCAGCATCTTTATTACAAGCCCTAAAACACTCAGCACAAAGACAAAGCTGAGTGAATTTAACTTTTCTGATCTTTAGATACTACATTGTCTCACCAAAGTCCTTCCAAAGAACCCTTTAAGAGCAAAGCAGTTTGGGGCTGAAAGGATCCTGGCACCAAATTGACCTTAATCTTCTATTACTATATAAATGTTTCTGTGCTTTAAAAATGCACTGCCTATTTCTTACTCTGAGACTACCCTAATCTCAAATTAGCCTTCTGAGCGTAGGTCGGGAGTGCAGGAGTGCAGTTCTTACTGGTTCAATTAAAGGAAATAACGCAAAATCACACAGGCTATTGCAGAAGTCTTTGTCAACAACTTCCTCAATACTCAGAGGCTGCTATACAGCCAGATAACATTGTTATTGGAAACACATTAGTGTGAGAGATTTTATATATTTATATATAGAGATATATGGCTAATAGATACATTCATCTTATAGCTACCACAGTAAAAGTCTTGGGCCAGTGCTTCTGATTCATTATTAACACTTGTTTTCATGTTCTGCTCCTTTGGTGTGTTTACAGCTTAGCCTTGCACTTGCTGTGTGTTTTCCAAAATGCTTGCACGTAACAAAGCTCTGATAACTACAAAGCCGTCGTACTATTACTCACCAATGCGCTTAAAAATGATGCGAAGTGAAGTATGATGTACCAGTACATACTTTGGAGTTAGGCAACTAGCAGGTATGTGGGGAAGGCACGTTGTGTTATCAGTTGATACACTGGGGATAATGCATTTGTGTAAAAATCCTCTTTTTAAAGTGATTTTCCTTTCTTCCCTTCGGGTTTTTTTTTGTTTGTGTCCTTGTGCTTGAACATTTGACCCTGGGGGAGTAGGATGGAAGGATTGTTTAAACACCAGAGAACTGTTTATTTCAATTTTCTCCCTCTTTTTCTCCCCCCCCCCCTTTTTTTCAGCTCTCTTTACAGGTAAATCACTCGTGATATGGGAGAGTCTCAGAAAGTTCAGAGGTTTGGGGCAGGAAACGCCTCCCCTCCCCCTGAAGTTTGGATTCTGAGCTAAATTTATCTGAATGCTGTCATTTCCCTGCTTTTCCTTCTCTACCTCCTTCACCACATTCCTCTTTCTCCCTCCCCATTCCCAGACACCCAGATCTTATCCTTTCCTTGACCTGCAGCTCCCCCTCCCTAGCCTTCCACAGCTCCAAAATGTCCAGAGGCCAAGGCTGAAGGTGCTAGTTTCTCCTGTTGTTTCTTTTATTCCTGGGCTCTACCATAGCAAGAAATGCTCTGTAATCCTTTGCCTGCAGATTCTGTCTCTGCACACATATGTTAGAAGTAGATTCAGTGGCCCCTAAGATGAAAAGGCAGCAGTGGTGTCCAGAAGGGGCTTGCTGTGTGCGAGCACGCACTGGTGATGCAGCAAAAAGCCCATATAGGTACAAGCCATTGCAATTTGTTTTGGGTAAAAGGATTCTGAAATAGGTGTGGAAGTTGGGCCGAACTTCCAGCCTCCTTCTGTTTTCCCTGATGCATTCTACTCATGTGCATCACTTATCACTATCTCAAACAGGTCTGTCCTGGGGTATGGACTACACAGAGTTCAACAAGATACCCCTCTTCTTTAATTTCCTTTATTCCTTATATATGATAGCCTTGCACTGTGGCTATTCTAGTTTTCCACAGAAGTGGCAGGCAGCCAAAGACTGGAATCATTATTTGCAAACTCTAAAAATAGAGTCAAGATTTATAGGAAGAAAACAGATACGTCTTGTTATAAAACCATGAACAAGGATTGGCACTAATAGAACGGTTTATTCCTTTTTGATATTGCTTATTGTAAATCGCACTCTTTTGGGGAGATACACTAGATATTAACTGTACAGAAACATTTCCTTTACTTGAAAGTGCAGTTTATTTGTTGCAAAGACTCGATTATTCAAAGGAAGCAATAAGAGATGAGGTAGCTCCTTGGAACTTTGTGTATGGTTGGGGTGGATAGTTTGTTTAACAAAATAAGTATTAGTGATCTTCTTCTGCAGGTCACTGCTGATAAAACATGCAGTGGGTCTCTTTGCCCAGCAAAAAGATGCCCCATGAGTTGCACTTCTGATTAATATTGCTTGATATTATAAAACATGAACATCGCCCCCCTGATCTAACTCATCTTCATAACACTCCTCACACGGTCTCCTTCCTCATGGGCTCTGGGGGGCAGCAACAAAGGGGGAAAAATAAAGAGGAAGGGGGGAAGCCTAGGGAAAGAGAGGGAGAGACTTTCACAAAGAGTTAAAACGGCCTGATGAAATCCTTACAATGTACACCATATGGCTTGACATTTACCAGATTAGTTAAACATTTCTACTGGGGATAAATATTCCTGCACATCGATGTAAAGAAATTGCATGAGACAAGGGCACATACAGCATATTTATGCCATGGAGTAATCTCTTTTATTTTTTTCCCTTTTCCTTTTTTCCCTCCCCTCCCCTTTGCCTGCAGAACTCAGGTTACTGAACATGTAAGGTCCGAGAGAACTAAACCCGAATGAACCCCCACTCCTGTGCGCTCCCGAGCTGCTTGTCAATGTGACTGCAAACGCAATCCCCCTCCCAACACCACCCCAAACACACTCAAAACTCTCACCCAGAAAAGTTTCGAATGAGCAATCTTGCTATAAAATCCCCCAACAACTCTATGGAGAGGCTAAAACATTAAAGTTTGTCACAGTCTATTTCAGGATTCGGGCTGCCTGTGGAGAGATGACTGTGATGGCTGCCAAACTGATTCAAGGCGGGTTGATGCAGAGGAGGTGACTGCTGGTGCCTGTGTCTGGTGTAGACTACTCTGCTCCTTGGTGAACAGCCCTAAAGCCATAGATTTCATTTGATCTTTGCAAAGGCTAACATTTGTCTGCTGTCATTTTAGTAAGATTGATGACAGGCTGGGGTAGGCGAGGAGGAGGGGGAGTGCAATGGGAGGAAGGCTGGTCCCCACAGCCCCTATGGCTGTGGCCAAGCCTGCCTGGAGTCACTGGCCCAGACCCTCTGGTGGGCTGCAGCAGTGGCGAGGAGTCGCTCCTGCACCACTCCAGCAGTAATTGTGCTGGGTTCTTGCAGCAGATCGCAGGAACTTGGAGACATAAAGGCACCATTCTGCACCTTATATATCTTAATAGATTATCTGCGTCACAAGCAACACAGAGCAAAATGTTATGACAACCATAAGAATGTAGTTTACTGTGGCTTAATGTGGCTGGGCAGTGCAGGGTAAAGCTATCAAAAAATGCTTGTATTTTTTGTATAGTTCTGAGAGAAACTAAGTGATGTGGACATGCAGCTATTTTTATACGAAAGCCTGACTTTTGGCAAACTCTTTCCAGGCTATAGCAGAAAATGCTTACTCTTTGTATTAGTAGTAGTATCACGGTGCCAAACTGAAAATCATATGCTTTCCCACTTGGAATTTTTCTCGCAAGCTGATGTCTGAGTTGATGTAATAGGGGAATCTTCTACAAAGGACGCATGCCCCAAACGGGGCAGCCAGTTGCTGGCTGCAGCATGCAATACGCCCCGGAAAAGAAATAGCTTTCATTTTTGGGCAGGATGAAGTCCATGTATCGTTTTCCATGAATGAATGAGTGAATGAATGACTATCAGGGCTGAAATTTGATCTTACTGAAAAATCCCAGCGATTCTGGTTCCACAAGGCGCATGTGTGCACACAAGAGGGATCTGGTCGCTTCTGGGTAAGCAGGGCAGCGCACTAGGGGAAGAAGGTGTAGGGATAGGGTTACTGCCCTCGTGGATTAGGAAGCCAGAAATGTACCTGCACATCTTAAACATTAGGTTGGAAAACACTGAGGTAAGGGTTGTAAGAAGCCCCAGACCCTCTTTGGGAGCTGGAGGGGAGACGGGTGCAGGAGCAGGTAACGTTAACAAGCTGGAATTCAAAATATGCCCGACCTAAAGCCCCAGGCTGGGACATGTACGGGCTTGGTGGAAGGCTCAGCTTCAGCCCCTCCTGCTGAGATGTACAGTACTGAGACTGATTCCGTGTGGATTTTAACCACACAGTGTCCCATCAGGACAAAAAAGACATCGTGTGAGGATGGGATTTCAGCTGCAGCCAGGGAAAAATGTAGTGTAGAGTATGAAAACAAGCTGTATGCTGCTTATTCTTGGAGGTCAGAGATGAGCAAATGGGAGAGCTGGCAAGGGCCCCACATGAACTTTGCACTTGTGCGATCGCGGGTGGCTGAATTGATAAAGAGTGAGCCAGAGAGATAAATACACATACAGAGAAAAATAAGAACAGATAATGAAGTTGCAGTATATTTCCTCCTAGTGATGAAAGGCTAAGAATGAGTTACAGATCTTTCCCTACGATAAGAACAGATAATTCTTTCCAAAATCATTTATCTATAAGATACTGAGGTATTGTTTAGGTCTGCATTAGTATTAATCTAGCTCTTTGCTTCTCCATCCCAGTCCTTCCACAGGTGAAAACATGCTGGTAGGGACCCTAAAGGTTTCACATGCACGTGGATGCATTTCATCCTGTGGATGAGGTATTAGTTTTTATTGTAGGCAGTTGAGAAGAAAAGGGGCATGTTTATCCAAGTATCTCAGGTAAACCTGACATGTCTATTTATGCATTACCAGAGTTTAAATCTTCATTTGCTCAGGTCCTTAATGTACGAGGAGCAGTTGCTGTAAGTGCTACAAGATCTGTTTACTGCTCTGGGATATAATTAACTTTAAAGAAAATGAAAAGAAAGAAAGGAAAAGCTGATGCCTGTATGAAGAAAACAACCCCATCTGACAACTTTGATGTAAGAAGAGCCTTCTCCCTTTGACTGCTCCGGAGATGCTGCCTCATCAGGTGGGTGTGCTCAGCCCTTTCATCCCCGCAGGCAGGGCTAGATAACATTTACATGTCTCAGAGATATGACATGTGTACGGTACATGTGTGTGAGGGCGGGTAGCCCAGGCTTGAAAAGAGTATGCAGGATAAAGCAGTGCGGCTGATTAAAGTGGGAAAGCAGTGGGAAAGATTAAAGTACTTGATTTTCATAGAATCACAGACTAGTTTGGGTTGGAAGGGACCTTAAAGCTCATCCAGCTCCAACCCCTGCCATGGGCAGGGACCCCTTCCACTAGAGCAGCTTGCTCCAAGCCCCTGTGTCCAACCTGGCCATGGACACTGCGAGGGATGGGGCAGCCACAGCTTCTCTGGGCACCCTGTGCCAGCACCTCAGCACCCTCACAGGGAAGAACTTATTATCTTATCTCAGCCTCCCCTCTTTCATCTGAAAGCCATTTCCCCCTCTCTTGTCTTACATCTAGAAAAATGTGTTTCACATGATTAGAAACAGCATTATTCTTCTTATTATTATTAATTATTATTATTTCATTTCTATTTTACTGTTGTTACAGTATTCAGTACAGGCCTATTCCTCACTCCACCTTCCCAGAGGGTCAGTGTGCTGCCTTGAGGTGAAGGACCCGTCTGGAATCATCCGCCCCTGTTGAGGGTCAGCTCCCACCTCTCCTCACAGCCTCCAGCTCTCCACAAAGCCACCTTCATTTGAGGAGATGGTGTTACCATTAGGGACAGGCATGGGGCTGAGAGAAAAGCCAAGGCAAGCTGGGGATGGAGCTTGGGATGTGCTGTGGGCTGTGGGAGCGAGGAGCAGAGGGGGTGATGGTGTGGGTTGAGCACCACGTCCATGAGGAATGGCTGTTTGCCTGCAAAGCTGCTTGCGGGTCAAGGGGACTCACATTTCTGCTAAACAGTCCGGTATATCTTCACCTTGTGTAATCTCAGCTGGACCCTTTGCTGTCGTGCTCCCCACCTGTAAAACCTCTGCTTTTGAATCTTAAGAGAAATCTTTACGGTGGTCAGTAAATCCTAATGCTGTGCTTGTTCTGTTTTATGAGATTTCCACTAACACTCGGCTGTGGAGATTTGTCACTTGTCCGATCTAACAGCTCTAAGGACACAGCAGACTTAGGCTGAGGGGGGAAGAAGTCAGCTGGCTCCATCGCGTTTAAATGAGCTTCAGGTTCGGTACATTAATGTGCTAATAAGGAAGTCTTGTGTTCCCACACTGTTCTTAAAGGCATTCTCACACTGCTGACCTGACCTCTTTAATCCTGGCTTTCCTGAAGGAAAATCTGATCCATCAGGCCTCCTATATCTAAAATGGGATGAAAGGAAGAGATGGACCTATTTCTATGCTGGTGTTTCTCAGGTACCTGGAGCAGTCTTGTTCTTTTTCTATTCATCTCTCATTTCCCTGGGAAGGAGGGGAAAAAAACCTCCTGGATGCGAGGGCTCAAATCACTGAAGATGAGAAACAGCAAAAGGAAATAAAGAGGTCACACACCTAAGTTAGCTTATGATTAAAAAGAAATTAGTGGGGCTATTTTTAATTTGTTTAAATATATTACTTTCTATTAAAAAGGTCTTTATATTTCACTAAGTATGAGATGAAGTGTGTCACCAGAGGAAGGGTTTTCAGTTTTAGTCTCTTTTCTCTTAAACAGAAGTCAAAGAAACTCCACTGAAGTCACAAATGTGAAGCCAGTAGTAATGGCAGCAGAGTGGGACTTCTCTACAACACAGTGTGGTTACCTTCCAGTAGGGCCAGTCTGCAAGAATTCAGGGAAGAATGAAAGCTGTGTATGACAGGTCCATTGTGGTCTGTGGTACCACATAGTCCCCAGAATACTCAACCTTAGAATGTTGTGCAGCCCTGAGATGCAAAACACTGCATCCCTGTGCTCAGAGCCAGCCCAAGGTATTTGAACCACAGCCTAAGGAGCTGGTGGGAGCCCTCTTGAAGGCTTGAAGTGCATCTAATACATGAGTTGTTCTGCCAGGGCTTATGTCTGTCTTAGTTAAAGCTGCCAAGCTATGGATATTGCCAGGCTACAGCTGACAGAAATTAGTAAGGATAGTTGTAAATGAAGTTTTGTAATGTCCTAAGTCTACAAGGGAGCTTTTAAAATCAGTTCACAAGCTAAACAGTGATCCAACTGTTCTGAGACTTTCCAAGAGATTGCTTGGTTTTCCATTTTCCCCCCTGTATTTTCAGTTCTGGGATATCTCTTTTGTTAAATGGAGTGCTTAAGAGTAAACATAGTGATTGCAGTCTCTGGAAACCTGTGAGGCTACGAGGGAAATCCACCATAGCGTTTCAAATAAATAAATAAGTCAAAGGTTTGCTTAGGAATTTGTCACAAACCTCCAAAGCGATGCAAACGCCCTCAGTATCTTGTTTCATTCCCAGCTGGAGAAGTCAGGCCAGAATCACTGAACATTTCACCAAGTCTTGCTAACCTCCTGAGCTGAGTTGTGAGAAATTGTTCTTGACATCACATGAGCTGGGCCACAAGGCAGGACTAATGTGATATTTGCTGTCGAAGCATGTTTCCTAGGAAACATGGTACTTAGAGAGCTCAGCCCTCCCTGCCACCCTTCCCGCATCCTCCAGTTTCACCCGTTCCCACAGCATCTGCAGAGGGCAGGGATGTCTCCTCTGACCCCCAGACACCCTCAGTGTGGACCTCCCGCTGCAGTGTGATGCTTCCCAGCAGCCCATGCACCCAGCTGAAGGCTGAGTGGTTGTGGAGGTTCTGATTCACCCATCTCATTGCCCTTTTTACTGCGATTTATCCATTTCCCTGCCTTTTCTTTCTCCAGCAGGCTGCAATGGGAGCGATAGAGAAGCTAGGTTATATCCTTCAAGACTGCTGCTGGAGAGAAGGAAGTTTGAGCCTTCCCAGCAATCTTAGCATTCCCTGTCGAAGGAGAACTGGTGGAAAAATGATAGGAAAATCAGCAGATTACTTAAAACTTCACTTGCCATGAGGCTCCTCATCTTTTTTGACTGCAGTTTGCAGTACAGTAGTTATTATGGTACAGGGATTTTTAGATCATTGGGGTTCCCCAGTTCACTCTCACAATCTCATCTAGTGGCTGTAGATGCTGTCCTTGACATGAGACTAGCATAAATGATTTCTGTCATTCAGGCCAAACTTTTCAGCAGGATAGTTCCCATTGAGGATGAAATGAAAGGAGTCGGTTCACACATGTTAACCAAATGCAAATCCTTAGATGGAAACTCATGGTCAGCTTTTTCCAAAGCTATTTTCAGAACTTCCACAAAAGACTGTGCTGTGATTATATGTATTCATGATATGTATATCATGCATTCAGCTCAAACAATATTTGAATGATGCATTTAGAATTCCTCCTAAAAAAGGACCATGCTTCTGTAAACTGCATCATATTTGTAAAAGAGGAAAAAGAAACCTAGCTTGCTTTTCCTTTCTTTCTCTCTTTCTTTTTAATATACCATTTCATAAGGCTGTAAGAATTGGTGTTAATGCTACGATACACACAGACACACTTCTACATAATCAGATGCATTTGCATGTATGCCATACATAAACAACCCTATGGAATCCCGACTCTTCACTGTTGAATTTGTCTCCTTATTTTTCAAAGCAGAGAAGCCCCTGGTGTCAAGCAGTTGGTGTTTTTTACTTTCACTGGACTGTAGAGCAAATACAGCCAACAAAATAAAGCACTCGGGGGGTTGTAGGTTGTTTTTTGTTCTGCTTTTCTTCTTCTTCTTACCTGGCCATTTATAAATACCCGTTTTCCCACTGTCTCCTCCACTGATAAAACAGCATTCTTTGACTCTGTCACGAAGTGTCCTTCATGTTGCCAATATTGATTTCCCCAAACCCTGGAAGGCCAAGTGCATCACCTCCATGACGCTCCCTGACTTGGAAAACAGGAGAGCTAAGGTTGCTACTGCCAGGCATTGGTTACCCCACATAGCAGGCAAGAAGACGAGTAGCCTTAAGTCACTGGGCTGATTCATTTATCCCTCTAATGTCATTCTCTTCACCTTACCACATGTTTGTGTAGTGAAGCTGTTTGGCCAACATGCCCTGCAGGCCTTGTCTGAGTAATGAAAGTGCAGAGGGTGGAAAAGAAATTCCATTCTGAATCGGTTAGCTCTATCTTCAGGTTTTGATGGTACCCAAAAGGTTGGGATGGCTTTTTGGTGTGCTTTCGGATTCAGAAGAGCGGTATCTACTGGGCTTTGCAAAGCCAGCAGAACTTCACTGGTGTAAATCTTGGCAGAATTTGGGTCCTGTGTCCAGAGAAGGCAAATCAGTAATACCTTTTCTGTTCAAACCCAGGAAAAGTTTCTTCAGAGCATTAAGATCATGGGACAGATAATGTCAATCAGCTCCAGAGAAACAGCATCAGTTTAGCTGAGAATCTCTATGCAAGTCTCAAGTCTGTACCAATTTCATAGATCAGCACTTTCTATTGTTCAGTCATGCTTTTCTTGCATAGGAGCTATGCTGGCTTTGCAAATCAACCTCTACCATCATGAAACCACATTGCTCACAGAAGGCAGAACTCTTCTGAATTACGTTAGAATAGCCAATATGCAAGACCCTGGTGGGTCACCCAGACCATTCATTCATTTTCGAAGCACTTTAGCAATGCCAATCCTCATGGCACCATGTATAATATATGTCAAGGGATGTTGCTATCCCCCATTGCCAGCTGAGGAAAGGAGATTACAAAACCACAACTTGAATTATTGTTGGAGGCAGGACTGGAACTTGGGATTTCCTGGACAGATTACTAGCCTTCACTTCTCCCTTTGTTGGTATAACTAGCAGTGTCCTGGATCTCCCTTATTCCAGTGCAAGAACACACTTGAATACATTTTCTTTGAAATTGTCTGGTTTGGGGTCACTTCTGTTGTGTACTTCTGGCTGTTAATGATCTGTTGTCTGCAGTGAAATGCTCACTAGTACACTGTAAATCACGAACAGATGTAAAGGTGTCCATTCGTGACTACTGGTTCAATCCCTCTGGATTCCTGAAATCAGCTACCTGCAAAACTTTGGGAGACATGTCTTGAAAAAACCCAATCCTTTGTGACTCTTTAAGTTTTTGTTCTTGGCTGCTAGCCACTCGGAGGGGTGTCTTACATCCTTGAGATGAACTTAGTGCAGTCCTCATTGACCTAGCAAGCCATTTTTTCCCCCTGACGACAAGCTGGGATCACATCTTGTAATGACTACTGCAAGATTGTCTTGTTAGGGAAAGGGCTAAGGTGGGATCGCCTTTAATGACAATGAAAGCACCTCATCAAATCTGAGTCTTTGGTTTCCCAGTCATGGCTCTAGAATTTGAGCCGATGCAGACTTAGTAAATCAGTCAGTCAAAAATTACATCAGTTGAAGTATAATGTTCATGGCAGTCCAAAAACCTGAACATGTAGGTGATTTGGAGGGCGTTTTGTTAACTCTTTAATTGGTCGTTTGAGTGCTGGAGGCAGTAGCTAATTGCCTGTAGGTCAGAGTAGTCCTAGAGCTTAGGTAAATGTATATTGTCATATGTCACATTTTCATATGGATCCTTTGCACAGGTTGGTAAAAATGATTGCTGTATAATTAAAATTAAGACAAGGTGGGAAAAGTGATTCAATTAAACCCCCGAAGCCATTGCACAAATTATCTGAAGTACCAAAAACTAATGAATAGTTAAAACTAGTTTTATCTTTTTACTCTACATTCTTCACTCCTGAGGGTATTAAAATGGCTGGAGCCTCTCTCCACAAGTTCTCAGAGGTAAGTTTTTGGGTGGGCAGTGCAAGTATGAGTCAGCGCAGAGGAATCCAGGCCTTTTAAAATACCAGCACACAGAAACTGTGTTGCCTAGTTGTTTTGAATTGAAAATAACCAGACCTTAAGCACAAGAGACCTTTTGGTTTCTCCACCAGCCCAGAATTATTTTGCAAACATCTGCAATATTTCACTCTGCATGCAGCAGGTATTATATACCAGGGAGGGTGATGACAGTCAAAATAAATGAGATATGTTGTAACCAAAACATCCCCAGTTTTACATCATACATTTCACAACCCGCGCAAGCATCCTGTGCTTTGACTTGAAGGCTAAAAGGCATGTGGTAGTTTTACAAATGTCTATTAGTATTAACAAATATGTTCCATTATTAGACAGCATGCCACTGCCCCAACCTCCTGGTGCAAGAGGTGAGTTAATATGGCTTATAAAATATAAGAGCAGTGCAGGCACAGGCTATGGAAATAAGAGCCCTGGCTAAGCAGGAGGTCTCATTACGTTTCGTGGGACAACTTACTAGAGGCCTGAACATGAGTATAAAAGCTGCCTCCCAGCTAAGGCTTTTTATGGTTCCTGTCCTTTCCCAGAGCAATACAACTTTAGGAGGTTTAGAACAACAAGGTCTGCACCTTTGGATACTGGCAGTGCACTAATTCTGGCTGGGTTTAAACAGAGAGGTGAAGGGGAGAATTAAGATACATCTGTTTGCGCTATCCCTGTGCTTTTTAACAGGGTTTTTTTGATGGTTGAAAGTAGGGAGCACTTAGGAGTTGTGTTTTTTTGCACAGTTGGTTATTTCTGCGTGCTCTTTGCTGCTAGCTGTAAACCTCCATTTCTGGGAAACAGAGTGTTTCTTGGCCAGGAGTGCCTGGAGAGGACCTGATACACTGGAACTGTACAAACAGCTCACCTTAGGAGGAAAGAAGAAAGGAGTCTTGCTAATTTTCATTAGAAGAGATATTGCCTTGGAAGATATTCAAAATACACCTTAGTAGAGACTGTTTCCAGCCATCCAGGTAGAGGTGTCTGTAGGCATTGCCCCTTGCAGGGTGGTGTAGATGTATAGTGTAGATAAAGAACACAATAGTGCCTTTATGCTTCCACCTCTTTGAATGTTACTCTTGTTCTGCATTTGAAAGTAACAGTTATAAAACCTATTCTGACCCTTATTCAAAGTTTAATCAGAAACCTTAAATAGGAACTAATTTATTATCACAGGTAGCATATTCATATAAGTACCAGCTTTATCAAGCCATGAAAATCCCTGCTGAGGACCAGGATGATTCAGGGAATAGTAGGTTATGAAAACATGATGATGTCAACTCACTAGATGAGTCTCCATCAATGGGTAAAGCTTCTGTGGGTAGATAAAATAAACCTTCCCAAAGACTTCTGTGGATCAGAATCCCAAGAGATGTGGAGAACAAAGTAGAGAGAAAGGAGAAAACTGAAACACAGGAGGTGTTCCAATCACGTGAGGTCTTCACTTTCCCATGCTCCCTAATGGGAAAGCAAACAGCCAAACTTTGTCAGAGCTTCTTAAAAAGTATAAATTATACATGGGCAAATGTCTCTCCTGGTGTTGCAGTCTCCCCACCAAAATACTTTCTGCGGTCCTTTTGGGGTGTGCATTCAGCCTGGATTGCTGGTAACCAGAGACAAATTTTCCACTGTTTCTTACCTATGATTGAAGAAAAACACTGCTTGTGTGATTAAAGAGTGTTTAACGTAGCCTTTTCTACATACCCTTGGCCCAAGACCACCCAAACGCTAGGTAAAGTACTGCTTGTGACCAGTCTAGGTTTTCCTTCTGCTTCATGCCATAAGAGACAGTCTGTAGTTGCTTGGTTTTATTAATGCAGATTGAGAGTTTAGAAGACTACCAACAACCCCCCCAGATTATGGTATAGGCTGCTGCTGATTGCTCCAAGAGAGCACTGAAATTCCCGCTCCACACATAGGAATCTGGAAATGACTCAAGAGTGCTTGGGATGCCTTTGTGGATTCTCTCTGTGTGTATATATAGAGAAAGTATTGAATTACTTTTATACAGATGTATATGGCAAAACCATACAAAACTAATACGAGACATTCTGTGACAGATTCACAATTTTTCCTCTGTGTATAGAGAGCAATTCAAGGTCATGGCACCAAATACGTCTTTTAGAAGTACCTCATTTCACTGCCTATGGAAGGCTTGGACCAGGGCTCCATATTTGCTATAAAATTACATATTTTAAGATATTTAAATCCAGTATTTTGATCTGTTAATATGGACCTTGCCAAAGAAAAATACTAATCATTGCCACCAGCCAGGTCCACTCACTTATCAGACATCCTCTGATTGAGGATGCAGCCACTACTGCAATCCCTGCCTGCTAGGCTTTGTGGAGAAGCCCTACACAATGTGCCCATGAACAAAGCAGTGGATGGTAAAGGAATGTATGAGAGAAACTGCCTTAAAAGCCTCTGGAATTACAAAGACAGTGAGAGAGACTTTCCATAGACTTTCTGGAAATGCCCTGTGAGTCCCTGGTAGGTTCCCCTGGGAACCAAAGGAGCCAGTAGGAAGATAGTAATGGCCTATTAAATTCTATAGGACATGCTTTGGTAGTGAGGGGTAGGCCCATGGCATTTCCATGCGTTTTCACTAGCTAGCAGCAGAAGGGCATGCGCATTGTACTTCCTTTGGGGTACGTTTTACATGCAGCGAGAAGGATGTGAAGGCGGTTGCCTTCTCCCAGAGAGCCTGGAAACACTGAATTTCCCTCTGGACTAGCACTCCTCTTGATATGCATCAGTGTTTTAATGGTATTCTCTTGTAAAAAGGAGGTTTTAAAAGGTGTTTTCAGTACATGAGACAAACCTCATCACTGGTGAGTCTGGGGACCCATCATCCCAGTGTTATCTCAGGGAGGCACAGTCCTTGCTCACATTAACTCATGTGCAAGGACCAAACTGCTTGAGGCAACAGTTCCTGTATCAGCCCAACAAAAAAGCTGAGATATGAGATACTCCTTTGGTAGTGCAGTCACCCAAGGATGCATCCTGAGAGGAAAATCTGCCTTGCCATGAGCAGAGAAATTACACTGATGTTACAGGCTTTGCAAGGGATATTGTTCTTTGGGTGTTCCCACCTTCTCCTGGCTTATACGTAAGACAACAAGGCTGAAAAGACCCTATTGGGTACCCAGAAAGGAACAAAGTTAATAATGATCAGCCTGCAAAGACAGATTAGGCATAAGCAGTGGAATTGACTTAATTGTTTTATACAACTTCATGACTTTGTTTTCCTTCCTGGTGTTTTTTGGTAGTTACATCTTAGTAAAAGAAATCACAGTTCATAAGATATCACTGTGCAAATAAATACCCTGCAACGCTGCAGTGGTTTTAGTGGCTCACAATTAGCCTTGATAACCCAAAGGATGGAGGCTAGCATATGTCATGGCTGGAGTCAGGAACAACATGCATCTTTGTGTCTATTTGCATATGACAAATTTCTTCAGTCAGATGCAGGCCAGGCTGAATTTAGCCATCTTGGCCTTGATATTATCCATGTGGCTAAAACTGCCAGTCCATTTACCCTGGAAATTATTACACTTGTGCACTGCCAAATGCACAGTTGTATTGCTCCTTCACTTCATGCTGTTGTATGTTAAACGTACCTCTGAGTCTTAAGCAAGTCTAGATGGAATGGTTTTTTGTTTCAAATAAATTAGTGCTGGGGAGGGGAATCTTTTAGTGCCCTTTCAGAAACTGGCAATGTTTGCCATTTTCTTCTAGCTTAGGTAGTTATGATTTAAAGGAAAAGAAGGAAGTAAAGGGGCTTATGTAAGAATTCCGATGACTGATCACTCAAATTTAGAGTGGGAAATCTGCTTTAGTGAGGGCTAGAGTAGGAGCAACAGCTACATGGCCAGAGATCAACAACTAACCTAAGTTTGTGAGCCATAGAATAAGCATAATATTTAGACCTTATATAGGTGCTGAAGATAAGCGTGATTATGTGGAGATGAGCAATAGATCTGCTGTATCTACAACAGTAACTGCTTGGAAATACATATAGAGAGACTCTGCTGTACTTGAACAACCTGTCTTATGACATCTGAATTTTGGGATGGTCAGGGCTGTGTATTTCTGAGTCCTTCAAAAGATGGAAAGGTATTCCTGAAAAGGAGCCATTTGGGGCCCCTCTTCTTCTGGAAAACTGTTGGGATCTGCATTCTTGAGAAGCATCCCAAGCTGGGGAGGAGATGTTTGTTTTCAATTAGGTCTTGTCTAAGAAATAGACCTATTTTCATTAGGAAAACTACTGTAAATGATGAATTCTTCACTGTTGTTCCCAAAGCAGAGAGATTTTATGAGGGTCACCCATTCTGCAATAAGGGGTTTTATACAATTCCCTGAGGAGATAGTCTTGTGTCTCCACAGGGAAAGATTCATCCCTCTGTATGATCCTTCTTTTAGGTAGGATAAGGAAAGCAACTGGAAAGATTAAAGAGCAGCAGTCCTTATGAAGGAAACAGGCTATCAGCCATCTCTGGAAACCAGCACTGCCTGTCAGGGAGAAACTGTTCTCATCATACAAACCACACGTTTCAGTGTGCTCTTGCAAGGCAAAGGTTGAGCATAATGTATACCTATATCTTAGTTAATAAAACCTAAACACAGGGCAGAAATATTATGTCCTCTCCTGCTTGTTTTGCAGAAGAGAACAGAGGTTTGTTGGCACCAAGAGAAATGTTTTTTTTTTCCTTTGGCTTTCCCTGTCATTTTTCCTCTGTGGAAAGGGGGAGACATTCTGGCTGTAGTTGTGTCTGTTTTCACTATTACCAAGAACAAACCTTCCGTTTTCCAAGTGAACTTAAGGTCCAAGCTCAGTTTCCTTCTATAAATCCTGAATCTTTCTCACATGATCGGCAATTCTTGTGATGAGCATGAGCAGGGAGCCAGGAAGGAAAGCTCAGCTGTCCAATGTAAAAGCTTTAGGCTCTTTCCCGAAATTCCCACAATTTTAGGGCAAGCTTTCTACTTATTACAGGGTTGAGTTATGAAAGCAGGGGTAGCTTGGTCAGTGTGCAATGTGCTTGTGCTCTCAAATGGCTCTGGATGACTGTTGGTCTGTTACATGCTGCCTGCTGCTGAAGCCTCAAAGACCCTCTGTTAAGAGTAAGCCTGGTAGCGGCTTGAGGACCACTGCTCTCTTGCATAGCCTCGGGCATGGGAATAGACAACCAGTGTGCATGTGGGCACGTCTGTCTGAAACATTACAGATGGTACCTGAAACAAAAGGTGCTTTTTCACCCCGTTTTTCTTCCTGTCTGGTTTCCCCCATTTCCCACCACCCAGCATTTTTTCAGTCTCCTTTTCCCCTCCATCTGGTATTTGCCTTCTTCCTCTTTCCTTGCAACCCGCAAATGTTTGCTGCTCTCTTGGGCCTCCCATGCTGTTTGATAAGTGGCTAATCTTGAAGGAGCAGGGCTGCTGTGCTGGCCATGCAGAGGAAGTGGTGGTTTCCCTCCCGAGCACTGCGGTGAGGTCTCCTCCAGCAGCAAGACCCCATCTTCCCCTTAGACCCTTCCTGCTTCATCTCTGTACCAGGGGTGAGTCCTGGGCGATGGGGCCAGAGAGGTCCCCTCTGAGCAAAGATGATTAGATTAAGTTAGAAGTGAAAGATGTGAGAGATGGGGTGGACTAGACAGGAGATAGATTATTCTTATGTTTTGCTTGAGTAACTTGAATTTTTAATAGCTTTGCTGGTTTTCTTTTGTTTTTCTACTAGCTGAAGGTAAATACCCCTAATTTGAGCAACACTGCTTTATTACAACTGGACACTTGGTATCGCATATTTCTGGACTGAAACACTTCATGCATTCCTTCAGCCCAAATGTGAGTGTTCTTTCTCAAATCTGCTTTCTAGGAATAAACAACCCTATAACAGGCATTGCTGAGCTGTCTGCAGCAGACAAACACATAAGAGTTGCAAATACAGCCAAAGACAGATATCAAAAAGAAATAGTCTCGAAATGTTTGGCACTGTTTGCTCACCTTTGGAATAGACATCCTGTTCCTCCTCTTCAAGTGTTTCACGTTATTTTTTTTAATAGAGCTGGGTGAGCTGGTATTTCTTCTGCTCAAGCTGTCTCTAAACTTGTATTTCCAACAGTGGCAGCAGATTATGAGACGATACTTATAGAAATGACATTATATCATTCTTTGAAATACCCATCCTGCAAGGCAAAATCTGCAGAAATTATAGGACTAAGAGGCCTCCTTTGAGAGGCAGAAACTATTTTAACTCGTTATTTTTAGAGCTCTGCAAATCACATATTTTTCTCTTCATTGGCAATTCAAAAAAAAAAATATTGGAAATTGTAATGTTTTTTTAAAAAAAAGAATCCTTCACACCTTTTTTTTTTTTTCCCCCCATAAAATGGAAAGTTGAAATATGTCATTTGTAGGCAAATGAGATATTTCACTTAAATTTCAACCGTTTCTTTTAGATCCTTTTCTTAGAAGACCCATTAAACACAGAAAGGCCTGTTGCAGGCTGCCTGCCCGTGTGGAATGGATATGGGTTCTTGGTCAGGACACCTGTTCTGGAGCATGAACAGTGACACAGGAACACACACAACTAGACGTTTCTGTAGTTGGTTGGGCCACCACGAGCACGGGTAACCATGTGTCTGTGTCTGCACTTTGCTCCCACCTCCACCAAGCACCACAAGCATCACTGTCCAAAACGAAACAAAGAGGTTGAATCATCTGGAGTATTTCAGAGGAATAATGCTGAGATCTCCCTGTGATTGCCAGCATTACTCTCAGCACCTTAAATCAGCCTATTAAGTCAATTGCCAGAGATAGGAAGGTGCTAGTGCTGTGCCAAGCTGTGTGGATCACGGTGTGGGGCACTGATGCCAGGATGCTGCCCTGCCCACCAGTGTATGGGTAAGTAATGGGAATGGCTGTTTTCAATGAGGAGATGGTGCTGCAAACAGAGCAAACAGCTCTGAAAGTTTCTGGTATTAAGGAAGGTTGAGCACTGGTTTCATTTTTATGGGACGGATTTTGAAGAGGGTCCTAATTGGTAATAATCAGCCATTAGAAACGGATGTGGTAGGGAAAGGGTGGATAAAGGAAACGGTAATGGCAGAGCAGTAATTCCATGTGGATTAAGGAGAAGCTGACATGCAATATAGCACAGAAGAAAATTTGTCAGGATTTGCTTTGGCTAAAGCTGGCTTTATAAACAGGAATACAGCTCACTAGAGACAGGTCTAGTGAATGAAAACAGGCACAGGAACTTCTTCCTTATAGCTGAGTGAAAGGGCTGCACCACATAAGGCGGATGCTCCCTTGTCTTGCCTTTTCATGCCATGCTGTGCCCTGCTGTGCCACAGCTTCTTGTGTCAGCCTGTCTGGCAGTGTGTACCAGAGGGAGAAGGAAAGTCAGCACAGAGCCCCTCATACTGTAAGGTATTTCCTTGGAGCTATCAATGCCTGGCTGCTCTTTCCTGTCCTTCCCATTCACTCTTGTTGCTTTGTAAACCTTTTCATTTGTACCTGGGCCCAGCACCAGCTGAGCCTGCTCTGAGCCCTGCCCATGGCAGGGGGTTGGAACTGGATGATCTTAAGGTCCTTTCCAAGCCAAACCATCCTATGATTCTATGAACCCAGGGGTACGTGCTGTAGAGGGAGCACCTTGTGCTGGTCCGTGCCTCTGGGACTACAATGCTCCATAGCACTGTGGCCACTGTAGATGTGACAGGCATAAGGAAGATGTAACAGAGCAGGCTGGGGTCTGGCTTTTCATTTTCCTCTTTGTTGGGAAGGATCTTGGAGAGAAAGGGGACTGGAGCCAGCAGCGGATTTGGTGCCCCCATGGCACTGGGGGTATTGCCAGCAGCAAGGGCAGGTTTGGGGAAATAGAGGAAGATGTTTACAATGTGAAGAGGAAGTGCAGGAGATCTGGAGAAGGTTAGATGATCAGAGGGGATTGCTATGACATTCTCTGAGAAGAAATGGTGTTTCTTGGGTGTCTTATGGGCAATCAGTTCATTGGGCTGCCATAGGGTCTCTCACATGGTTTGTGACTTGCGGAGCAGTGTCAGAGAGGCACCTTCACTTGCCAGACATTCCACTCATAAGCAGATGTCCCAGAAGATACAGTCCTGAGCCTTGTTTCCAGCTCAGGAAATGAAGGCTTCAATATTCTTGTCCATAAAGAATAGTAATGTTTCTATTTCCTTTTCCTTTCTTCTCTCTCTCTCCCCCCCCGCCTTTCTTTTAATGAGGAAAGAGAAAAGATCTGAGTAGGAGAAACTTGTTTTTCAGACATCTTACTTCCAAAACTTTTTCCTCACAGTGCTTCAGCCTATAATTTAAGAGGTTTTGTTTAATTACATTTAAAAACTTCCATCTTTAATTACTTTTTCTTTTTTTTTTTTATATTAACACCTAAATATGCTACTATTTGGGGCACAAACAGACAGAGATTACAATTAACAGATTAATTACACTCTTTTTGTCAGTGTAACCTCATGGTACAGAAAGTATTACAAATCCATTTTAAAACATATTAAATGTTCATATTAATGAGGATAATAGAGAACAAGTACCAGCAAACTAAATATTGTTAATGATTTTGAGCTATTAAATTCATTACCATTTCCTTTCATAATAAAGTGGTTACTTGCTAATTAGACCTTTTTTAACTCATCATTATTGAATTCATTACATTGTGTGCAGTTAACCCTTCAAGATCTGCCTGGGTATACAGATGCAGTTAAAAAGTAATTCCAACAGCATATGAAGCCGTATGCTGTTTGCAACCCTGCTTGTGTTTTTGACGGTAGCTCCATGTACTTTTCTTCTGGTACATTTTCTTGACACATCATGCCTAGCAGCTTCGTAGCTGTCACAGCAGCTTCAGCAACACGTACGATGGAAACATGCTGTATTCATTTCATTTAATAGCGTTTAATGTTAAAACGAAACTCGAACCCACTTGTTTGGCCCAGGAAAAAAATACCCATCGGCACGCTAAATGGTTGACGTCTTCTACTTCTAAATGGTTGACGGGCTACTCTTCTCTGAGTTAAAGCTGCTGAGAGTTAGGATGATTTACCTTCTCCTCCTATGGAGGCAAGATGTACTTATCTGGGTATCTGGTTTTTCTCTGCAACCCTGGATGGAAATCCTATCCCTGCTAGAGTTCACATCAAAATCCCTCTTGAGTGGAAGGTGCCCCTGCCCATGGCAGGGGTTGGAATTGGATGCGCTTTAAGGTCCCTTCCAACCCAAACCATCCTGTGATTCTATGATTTCAAAGTACCCCTGTACTCACCTTCCAGCAGCTCTGAGGGTTCACTCCCCTCTTGGTGAGGGGGTACAAGCCACCTTGTCCCATGTACCCAGTTACTGGAGAGGGTACTCTTGGAGACTGAACCAAAGTGCTTCTTTGCTTCTTCTTCTCCCTCCACTTCTCACTCTTTCAAAGGATTAAGAGAAGAGCCTCCATCTCTTCTTTCTTTTTTTGTCCATGCACTCTTTTTCCCCTCCTCTCACAAACAGCATCCCCTCACACACACTTTCAATTTGTAAGTATTTAAATAGCGCAAAAATACTTGTTCTGCACATCACTGGGACCTAATGGATAGCACTCCATGCCTTGCCTGATCGTGGCACAGTAATGTGGAATGAGAGAGGTAATAATCTTTGATTGGAAAATGCCATTTTTGGAGCAACTCTGCAACAACCAGTGCTGGGATGGCAGCGCCAGGCACATCATCAGCCAGGCACACAGTGCTGTAAGCAACGCCGCCGAGGAGTAGTTTTGCTTGGGTAAGAAAGGCTTCATGACACTTATTGCTACTGTACTTGATGGCTGGTGGCTGGGCTGATGGATACCCTGCAAGTCCAATAGATAACAGCTTAGATATGCAGGTACTGTATGGCTCTGGAGGAACACCGCTGTGCCATCATTCAGATCAGGCCATTCTCCTCCTTCCTATTTGAGGCTGTGTCTTTGCATAGGGGACATCTGAGGGTACGGCCCTGGGGCTGGCTCAGGCACGGCAGCCTCACTGCCATATATAACAACAATAACACCACATATCTGTAACCTCTGTTTTATTTAAAACCAGGTCTCTTTCACCTGTAAATAGCTAGGGTATAAATGTGCCTCACCAATCACATTGGACTATTGTATTATACAGTCTATTGAATGTTTTTGGCAGGCATGAGCCCCTATGCTACTGTGTCCTTATTTTATTATTGTTTTGAGGGTAGAGCAGTGTGATTATCCATTCTTGCTTCAGGCATAGCAAGCCATCTGGAATGCTTATTAAACCCACAGGCAGATCAGAAGGATATAACTCTGATGATGTACATGTACATGGGCTGTACTACATCATCAGAGCATTGCTCCTCTGATGATGTAGTACACATTAGTGGGCCTAGATAATGGATTAGAACTAGCAGAGTGAAAGTTAGAGTTTTTGAAGGATGGATATGGTGAGGTTTTTTCTCTCCCTCTGGGTAACTGCTGGCATAAGATGTGGAAAAGAAAATTTAAAAGTAAGCCAAGGAGGCTTCAAAACTTGTAAGTGCTCAGCTTGTCAATGGGGAGGGACAAGTGGTGATCAAGAGGCTTAAGGAAACAGCTTTGAAACCCTGAATCATTGCAAAGAGGTCATATGTGCTCATCTACTTGAGTGAAAAGGGACATGGAATGTGGCCAGAAATAATGTCACTTCTCCAGTCCTTTGGTCGGTCATCACTAAGTGGATTTTTGGTAGGACTTTGCCTTCTTGTCATGCTTCAAAAACCCAACACCCTGTGTTATGACACATAGAACTCGTTTTTCAGCACTTTCCAAATTTATGCTCATCACATATTTGCAAGTACTATTTAGAAATAAGCTTTTCAAATGAACGAGGAATCTGATCCGCTTTCAAACTAGCCATGTGGCTTCTCTTCTGACTAAGTGTGCAAAAAGCCCAACATCAGTATAAAAGAAAACCAATCTGGGCACCACGTATGGGGTGTAGGTGAACGAAGGAATAACTATTTGCATGTCTGTGGGGTTCTATATATAATTTCTATTTCTCTTTGCTCATAACCCTGCACGCAGTGGTTTTTGGAGGTAGCTGATATTTGTCTAATCATGGAAAGGTGTTTCGTGTCTAAACAAAACCTTTTCCTGGGGAAGCTGGAAAGGTTCGGAGAAGTTAGGTCATTCAGTCGGGAAGCTGAATGTGTGCTATGCAATTTAGATAACAAATTGCACACTTTAAATATCAAACTGTAAATATCAAGTACTCAAAAGAATATTGACATTTTTGAGCAATTCCAAAGAGTAACAGAACTTT